TGGATGGATGGATGGATGGACTAAAGCAAGGGGGGGGGGCGGGGGCTCACAATCACTGCACCAGGCTGGGAAACGTGGTAAAAAGCTAAGGTGCGGGGCAAAAGGCTAAGGATCAAGGGGGTGGGGAGGGGGGGGCACAGAAGTGGGGTGCGTGGGAAACACGTGGAGAGGACTGTTGCAGATGGGTAGAGCCAAAGCAGGTGCAGGACGGATGGGAGCTGGAGGCCAGCGCACAAGACGAAAGATAAAGGCAAGTGAAGTGGGGGCAGGTACTGTGCACCCGCAGAGATAGAGGCGGGCAGGGTGGGCAGCAAGCGATGAGCCGGCGCTAGGACCCGGAGGCGCGAAGGTGTCTGAGCAGGCGGGCACTAGGACCCGGCGGGTCCTTTGTTTGGGGGGCCGGGGAGCCGGACGGCGGCTCCAGTCGGAGGCTCCCCTCAGCTGGAGGGGGCCCTAAGGGGGGGAGGGGAGGTAGTGATGGGGTCCCCGGACTCTAGTGTGGCTGCACTCACCATCTGCCGCATGCAGGTCGGCCCGTTCCACCCACGAGCTCCAGCTCTGTCCCGCGAAGTCATCGAGACTCGGCACTCGCCGCTCCAGAGCGGCCATTGCTGCCACCGCGCGTTCACGCACCGCCATCACCGCCGCGGACGCGCGCCCGCCCCGGCGCCGCCGCCGCGCGGCCCCCTCCCCCCACCCTCCCCCGACCGGGGGCACGCCTCCCTCTCCCCCTACCTTGCCAGTTCACTCTTTGCGCAAGCGCAGTTCGGGTCTCCTGCCACCACCCCCTCACTCCCGCATAGCTTTCTGGGAAGTGTAGTTGCGGAGGGGTGGTGATGCCTAGGAGCTAGCCGAGGGATCCCTTCCAAAAAGCACAATCGCGCGCGCGGGGATGGAGAGATCAGAACCTCGGGATACCCTCTTCCAACCCCTCTGTACACGTTCTTTGCGCCACCAGTTCACTCTCCCAAGCTTACTACGCACACCCGAAACCTCTCTCTGCCCGAGATACCCCTCTAAAGCCGTACATCCGCCAGCTGGCTGGCGCCCCTTCCTGGGCTGGCGGCCACGAAGCGACTCTGCTCCCCTGTAGATCGAATGGGGTAGGTGCAGGGAGGTGGGCGCAGTGAATCGGAAGGGCAAGGGGAGGGAGTCTGCAGGACGTGCTGAAGGACACAGGGGTTGGAGTGGGGGGAGGGCCCCAGCTCCTGTGCTGTTCCTCTGTGGGAAACCCACGCTGACTTGATGCAGAACGGAGGGTTGGAATGCTGTTGTCTGGGTTTGGGAGGACCTGGCTGAGCTTGCCAAGATCACCTGTCAGTATGACAGAAGGCTATCTCGGAGCCAGAACCAGCCCCGGAACTGGGGTGGCCCCGAGGCTTCTGGTGTTTGCAGTGTCTCTGCTGATCCATCTCTCTCCTCCTGGGAACTCCGATCGATAACCTGCATCACCTCTTCCCAAATCTTGGCTGGACCCTGATTCCATCCATCATTTTGGCTTCTTTTTCTAATGAATATTTTCACCGCTGGAAAAGCTGTTACTGAAGCCTTGGCATAGGGAGGTTTTTCATCATGTCTTTTTTTTTCCTTCTAAGACCCATAAAGTACTTTAATCACCCACCTTCTCAGCTGATAATATTTCTTCCCTCCCATAAGACAAAAGTCTGCCTCCACATCCCTCCCCATTCTCATTGGAAATAAAATATTAATCCTCTTTTTTCCTTCAATACCTCACACCTCACGCCATATTGCATCCCTTTGCCTAAAATTTCTTTTACTTATTTTGCAAGTTTGGAAGCAAATAAGTCCAGTTCTGCCACTTTAAGACCACAGACTTTCTGCTTTCCGTAGAAGAACAGTTAACTCTATAAAGAATAATATCTGAGGGCAGAAGTTGTACAGCAAAGGCTCACCCATAGGTGATCCTTCAGAGACTCAGGAATCTGATGAGATTAAATGTAAAACTACGTCCAAGCACATTTCTCTAGGGAATGTAAATGTAGCACACGGCTGTCTATCTGAGGGAGATGGAGGTGCGAGCTTGTGCCGTGTGAACCTCATAGTAGAGAGGGGAGCATATGGCCCCCGACTCCTCCTTTGGGTCACAGATGGTAGGAGAGCAAATGGAGACGGCACTGTGGAAGCCACTATCTTTTGCCTTTTGAGTTTGATCCAAATTTGCTAATGAGTCTCAGTTTCTTTGGACTAATTGGGTGCCACCAAAAGAGTCGATGTCACCAGACTGGGCCTTGCCAAGAACAATTGCTCAGCCAGCAGACTATCGCCTAGGGTGCGGAGTAGAGAAGAGTCGCGTGATGTCTTGGTAGAGATGCTGATACTCGCCCAAGAACACAGAACAAGGGGAGAGGACAGGAAAGAAATTACCAGAGAGCCTCCTGTCTTGGCTTCTTAGTGGCAAATGTTCGCAGCACTGTTTATTCAAATGTGTAATAACAAGCACCAGAAAACAACATGCAACATTCTCCCCCCATACTTGATCTGCAGTCACAGCATTAGGAGACCCACGGTCAAGATGTTGAAGGGAACTCATGTCTAAGAAAGGGCCTGGCTGTGCCTCCACATGGTCAGAGTCTACCAGGGCAAAGGGCAAATGCCCTGCTTGTTGGCCTCCTGCAACAGCTAGAGAAACCAGACACCCTCTCCTACTTCAGGCCTGACTAGGCAAAGTGGTGATGCCAGCTCTGGCTGGAGAGGACGTGAGTCCTGTGAGGACAGCCTTACCCTTGGCACTTACCCCTGTTCCGCCCCCTAGAGGTAGTAAGTTGAACTGGTCTTCCCTCTTAGGGTGGCCAAGAACCAGCCAGGCTCTTGGTGAGGAAGAGCCTTCTCAGCCCTAGAGAGAACTCTGGGCTGAGAGGGCTCAGTGGGCGTGGACAGCTCCCGTTCTAGAGCAGCTGATAGGCCAGTTGCTAACCTAAGGCCCCATTGAGGACACTTTATCCATCACATTTCAAATAAATTATAAATATAGACACAGAACCCAAACACAGTTTGAGTAGAAGCTGCTCACACATCCCCACAGGGACTTGCTTGAAGAAAAATGAAGGTCACCCTTTTGTCCTTTGTATCTCTAGAGCTGTAGGCAAAACTGTCCCCCTTGACCTTAGTTAATCACGGGAACAACTTAGGATAGAGAGTTATAGATTTAGGTACATTCTCACCCACATCAACTTTTTCCCTCCTTAAACTCTTTCCATAAAATCTAAAACAGAAGACAAAAATTCCAAATTCTTTTACTGAAGGGCTTGGAAACATCTAGACATGTGTAAATATCATTACCCCTCTCCCCCATGAAGTGGGGGGTTATAACTCAAAGAAGAAATGGATGGCCCAAAGTTTAAGGTTCTAAGCCCTAGGGACCCAAGTAATACACAGCCTGATGTGGGTAGCACTGGGGGAGGTGAGGAGGTTGAAGAGGGTTGACCCTGTCTTGAGAACAGGTTAGCACAGGACACATTCATTTTTAGTATACTAGGTGGATCAATTGGCACTAAATTGGTAAATGGCTGGATTCTTCCTTCTTCATCTTTCCCTGAGCAGCCCTACTGCCAGGGTAGACCAAGGGGTTTTGACCTGGGTAGGGGCAGATGGTATTTCCTCAACTGGTACCCTCAGACCTTGGGGCCTGAGGAGGGATGGGAGTGTCAGGAAAGGGAGACACACCAAAGACAAATATGGAACTGGGTCCCGAAGTGAAGAAGCACCAATAGCATCGGGCTGCCTGGGACTGGGGAAGGGGTAGAGTCCGCTACCATATGGAAGTGAGGGAGGACTTCGAGAGATGAGGAGAGAGAACACCTCTGTGCAAAGGTGAGGAAGGAGAGGTATAAAAGGCCTAGAAAAGGTGCTGGTTTGAGAAGATGAGCAGACAGTAAGGGACAAGCGGGCCTATCTATCCATGTCCTGGGACTGCTGGGCACCTCAGCCTCATGGTGGTCCTTTCAGCCAGCCCACAGCCCACAGGAATGAAACGAAGGCCTAGACAGACTTGCCACAAAAGAAAAGGATCTTAAATGCCTTATCTCCAAAAGGTCAGGGAAGGGGGATGGACTGACAGGTGGGGTGGGGTGGGAGAAGGAAGTGGAAATATTCCTAGCCTTCTCATCTTGTTTCCTAAGGGTGAGACAAAACCAAGCCCACAAAGGACGAGGAAGTTAGGGGTTCCATGAGTAAATGGAGTCTGGGGAGCTGATGACAGTGTTCCAGCTGAGGGAGAACAGAGGGGACAGAAAATGTATTCCGTCAGCAACTTCCCTGGCTTTCTTCCTCGAAGCTGCGGTGCAATGGCAACTCTGTCTGCTTCCATTGAGTCCAGGCCTCGTGTGGACCCTTAGAGGGCCTTTGGATAGGGTAATGGGTCTCCCTGTTTCACACATGGTGGGAGCTATGGACAAAGAGAGGCCAGAGAGGAGACTGGGGAGCACATGGGACTGGGGGAGGGCAGGGCTAGAGATGAGATACAGAGACTAGATGACAGCAATGGAGAGATGCCATCAAACCACTGCTGGGCTCTCCAGACAGGAATCAGGGCAAGACTGCCAGCTGACTTCCCCCCTCCTCACTGCACTGAGACTGAACAAAGGATAACAGAGAACAGCTTTTAGACACCAGTATCAGGACTCCAGTTTCTTGCCCTCACCTGCAGCAAGCACAGGCTCTCTCGGAGGCTTGAGGGCACAAATTAAAGCCCAGTAGGATACCTGAGTCCAGGCAGGTAGACAAGAAGGACCGAGTTCCTGCCATGTGCAGCTCCAGCAGGATGTGGGATGAGGGAGCCAGTGGAGGGCTGCCCAGGTAACCAATAACTGATGCCTGCCTACCCATCCATTGTCTCAAATCTCAAAGCCCAGAAGGACGGGGGGGGGGGGGGGGGGGGGGGGGGGGGGGGGGGGGGGGGGGGGGGGTTGGAGGAGGAGGAAGGTCCTGTGGAAGCCGGAGGAGATGAAGAGGTGCTGTCCAGTTCGGGAGTAGCCAGCTGCTTACTGCTTCTCCACTGCCCCCTGTTCTGCGGCACTCTCCTGGCTGGTGCCCTGGCCCTGGTCCTGGCCCTGTCCATACCACGGTGTCTCTTTGAACACAAACCAACAGTTTCCAGCCCACAGGAAGAAGTTGATAAAGCCGAAGAGCTACAAAAGAAATCAGGAGCGTTTGTGAGAACAGTCAAGGAGGAGCCACAGGAGAAATGGGAATAGGAAGAGCACAGAGAACCGGGTATAGAGGCAGAGTTCAAGGCCATTCTCCAGCGAAAGCGGCTAAACTGTACCCAGAATGCTCATGCGCAGTGTAGCTCAGTCGCTAGCCAAATCTGGCCCTAGGAATGCTAAGGAAATCAAGGAACACACGGCAGCCTGCTTGAGGTGAGTGAGCCTGGAGCTGTCCAAGGTACTCCTCTGGGGCTAGAGACTCGGAGAAGGCTTTGTTCAAACATCTGTTGTTCTTGCTGTTGCTGTTGTTTGCTTTCTCTGTGTATCCAGCCTGTTCTAGAACCTGGAAGCCTCCTGCCTCTGCTTGACAGGCTGTTGGTACTACAGGTGTGTGCCACCACACAAAATCTATTCAAATATTTTAAATGTTTTGAAAAACTGACAACATAGCGAGGGGTGGTGGCGCATGCCTTTAATCCCAGTACTCCGGAGGTAGAGACGGGTGGGTCTCTGTGATTTTGAGGCCAACCTGGTATAAGACTATACCAGGACAGCCAGTGCCACACTGACCCTGTCTCAAAACACAAAAGCAAAAACCTAACAAAAGAGTAGTTAGGGACAAAAGAACTGATGTTCACAATTCACTTTGAAAAGCTTTTTCAAAAATGGGTTGAGTGAGCCATGGTGGTGCACACCTTTAGTCCTAGTACTTGGAAGGGAGAGGTAGGTGGATCCCCATGAGTTGGAAACCCGTCTGTTCTACATAGCGAGTTCCAGGCCAGCCGCAGCTGTAGAGTAAGACTCTTTCCCAAAATAGTAATAATAAGATCAATAATCCAGGCATGGTGGCTTACACCTGTGCAATCCCAGCACTTAGGCATTTCAAGAAGCAAGATTGTGAATTTGGACCAGTCTGAGTCACCCAACAGAGAGTATCTTGAAACACAAATGAAAAGAAAAGCTGGGTGTAGCGGCACGAATCAGTATCCTGGTACTTAGAAGGTTGAGGCAAGAGGATCATGAATTCAAAGGCAGCATGGGCTATATGCGTTCAAGGACAACTCGGGTTATAGAGCAAGACCCTGTCTCAAAAATCAAAATAAAAATAGTAGATAAGGAAAGATGGATAAATACATAGAAAACGGGTACAATGAAATGTCACCATTTAGGTGGTGACTATGTAGGCCATCCCTGTAAAAAAAAAATTCAGTTTTGCTGGGTGGGTATGTGAAAATGTTTACAATTAGAAACTGGAAGAGAAACCTATGTGCGTGGTTTCGGAAGGCTCCCTGGTGCACTGGTGATGAAACATTTCAGCTGTGGGTCTTGGGGAGGTCTGGGGCAATTTCTGAGGGGGGTATGGGATGGCTGAGGTGACAAGGGGGCATTTTTAGCAGCTCAGTGCTGCAGGTGGGTGTTTACCTACTTACATGGCTGTCTCTCAACACTGTAGCAACTTGGATCTCCTGCCAGCGGAACCCACCATTGCCCCCCACACCCACTAAGTGACAAGGGGGCAGTTTCTCTCTCACACTGGTCCACTCACAGCTCTGAGCCCCATCACGGCCCTAAGCTCCCTCTGCACATGTTCTCACGAGACACGTGGCCAAACAGGCAAGGAGGGGTAACCTCCGGGGGCAGCTAAGAGTGGCAGAGCAGTGACTCAGATTCTCCTCATCCAAAAATATCTTCTCAGGCCAATATCAGATGCAGGGGTTACTAGTCTAGCTGCACAGCCTGTTGGCTCTGGGGACACCTTCTCTGTTCCTCTCAGAACCAGCTAGCTGGGACAGCTGGGCTCGCACGCCTTTCCCAGATACGGGTCTCACCACAGAGATGTTAGCTAGCCCCATCGAGGGCGTGGCGCCGGCACTGCACACTGCATCCTCTCCATGACACACGGACATGGCTGCGGTCAGGCTGGATGGCCGCGTGGCCCCTTTGACATCAGTCAAGCCCTTGCCCCAGGCAGCTGCGGCAACCAGCCAGAAGAAGGTGAAGGAGACAGTAACGCAGAAGTCCTAGGAAGAGTGGAGGGAAGAAGACATGTTCAGGATGACCCTCTTGTCACACCAGAATCCTGAGGTCCCAAGACAGATGTCCCTTCCCATCCTACAGGCCTCTATTCAGTGCCACCAAAGGAATGCTGCCACTCAGACTGCCATGCCCCTGCCCTTAGAGTTAAGGTCAGGCAAGGAGCTGCCAAGGCAACAGCTGATAACCCTCCCTCCTTGCAAGCCAAGTGACTTAAATTCCCTACTCTTTCCTCTCTACTTCCCTTTGGACACCACTATTCAAACTATGAATAACAAAGAAAGCAGATTCAGAAGACAATTGAGGTCTCTAAAGCCTACTTCCCATCTTGAATGTCTGAAATATAGAGGAAGGAAATACTACTAATAATAGATAGCTCTCATTGAGAATAACTGCATGCAAGATGCAATACGTGAATACTCATTTCATCCTCCTAAAACACTTGCCCATGGCTTCACCTTTATTTTAGAGCCAAGGAAATTCATGTGGAGAGAGGCTGAGTAACTTGTCTAATGTCACACAGCTACTACGAGCAAGCACTAGGATCTGAACCCAGTTAGGTTAGCTCTAGATCCGGCCTCCTCTGGCTGCAAACAAACAGAGCGAGGTTGGTAGGGCAGAGGCCCATTCCACACACAGGTATCGAGGACTCGGAGAAGACATCACTTTTGACCTCCCCTCTGCTCTTGACTTCAGCCTTCTAACAAAGAGCTCTTCCATTTCTTGGCCCCATCTTCTGGGCTGTACTCACTCACCACCAGGGGGAAGCGTTTGTTCTCTGTGTAGAGGTTGTGGAAGCGCAGGTAGAGGACCAGGGCAGCCATTGTATAGAAGAAGGAAAAGATGCCAAGAGTCACAAAGAACTCGGCAGGGGCAGAGAAGTCTCCCATGAGGTGCATGGTTTTAGAGGTGGAGTCTTCGTCACAGAGGGGCATCTCATACTGGACCCGGTGCAACCTGCAGGTGGCAATGGAAGCCATGCTGAGCCAGGGCCAGCCCCTCTCGCCCTGCCCAAGAAGGGCCCCTGTGTTGGCTCTCACCCTGGGAAAGGAGTCATGTAGGTAAGAACTGAGGAAATCTTGCAGTCAAGACAGGAGCTACCTCAAGATTCCACTCATTTATCCCCTGGTAGTACTGGGGTTTGAACATGGGGCCTCACACATGCTAGGCAAGGACTTTAGCACTAAGCTACAACCCTCATCTAAGATTCCCCCAAGCTCCATCAGCATCCAAACCATACCCATCCACCTGGCCAGAAATGGTCATCCTGAATCTCTATATATCTTTTTTAAAAAATATTTATTTATTTATTTATTTATTTATTATGTATACAATGTTCTGTCTGAGTGTATGCCTGCAGGCCAGAAGAGGGCACCAGACCTCATTACAGAAGGTTGTGAGCCACCATGTGGTTGCCGGGAATTGAACTCAGGACCTTTGGAAGAGCAGGCAATGCTCTTAACCTCTGACCCATCTCTCCAGCCCTCTCTATATATCTTGAGGGACCCGTAAGTCACTAACATATAGACAGCCCAACTATTTCTGATAGTCAAACCACTAGACAAATCAGATTCATTCTGCCCTTAGAAACACACAAGCCCGTATTAAACGGTGGTCACATTAAGGTTTGAATTCCCATTCACAGATTTGATTTAGCCCTCCCTGATTTGGCTACAATGAACAGAATAGAGTGGGAAATACAGCTTGTTGTGTAGAAGAGATACTTAACTTAAACTGGAGGCTGAAATGGTTTCAGATATCCGGAAAAGATGAGCTCTGCCTCCACCCCCTTCTGAACAGTCATTCCCCTACTCCTTAGGCTCCCAAATACTCAGGGGTGAGTGTCCTTTTCTACTTCCTGGTGAAGATGTACCTCCTTGCCAGGCAGTGGTGGTGCACACCTTTAATCCCAGCGCGGGAGGCAGAGGCAGGCAGATTTCTATGAGTTCAAGGCCAGCCTGGTCTACAAGAGCTAGTTCCAGGACAGGCTCCAAAGCTGTCTCGAAAACCCTGTCTCAAAAAACCGAAAAAAGGGGGCTGGAGAGATGGCTCAGTGGTTAAGAGCATTGCCTGCTCTTCCAAAGGTCCTGAGTTCAATTCCCGGCAACCACATGGTGGCTCACAACCATCTGGAATGAGGTCTGGTGCCCTCTTCTGGCCTGCAGACATACACACAGACATAATATTGTATACATAATAAATAAATAAATATTAAAAAATAATGGCAGTATTTAAAAAAAAACGAAAAAAAAAAGAAGCACCTCCTTGTATTTGGGTGACATCGGGTGAGCATTTCACATCTATTGTTTAACATCTAAACTCTAACAAGCTTCCTTCCTTCAAGGCGCTGAGGAATCTGCAGAGGGGCAGAGAGAATTGTCACTGGCCCAGACCCCTAGTGTCCCCTGGCCCTCCACCCCAACAGCTGGTTTCTCTCTGAGCTGTGGTGAGCTGCCATTGTTGGAGTTTGGACTGGAACTCTGTAACAATGACATAGCCGTGTTTCACTCTGGTCAGTGTCTGAAATGGCTAAAAGACAGAATGAGCCAGGTCTTGTTCTATTTTGATCTAGAGCGGCACACAGCACATGTCCTGTGAGCAGGAAGAAATGAGGAGAGGTTGGTAGGAGCAGAGGAGGAAGAAAGCCCTGCTAACCTAGAGAGAGGAGGGCACGGGGCCACAGCCAAGCCCTACTCACCTGAAGGGATAGCCGAACAAAACAATGATGGAGCTCACATCCTTGGCTTCGTTGTTGCAGCGAACCATGGCTCCCGTCTCCCCGCTGTAAGAGCCGCAGGACCCGAAGGCGAAAATAGCAAAGAGCTGAGAGAAAGTGAAGCCCCTTTGAGAGTCGGAAGATCTCACCTGTCCAAGGTAAAGAGCTACCCTTCGACTCCAGAGGGTGCAGGTGCTTAGTGGGTAGGGAGTCAGGATTCCTTTTACCAAGTTTCTCCTGGTAGGGACCCTCAGCTGCCATTCTTCTTTCTACTCCAAATATTATATTCTCTGAACAAAGCATTGGACCAAGTAACTCAATGAAGATGGCCAACTTTGAGTGTGGTCTCAAGGGAGAGGAAGTGAGAGGAAGCAGTTTCCAGAACTCTCTATTGGGCTTGGCACTTGAGACCACACATAGCTTCTGTAAGATAATGACTAACATAAGACCTCTGTAATTCTGTTTTTTGTTTGTTTGCTTGCTTGTTTTTGGTTTGGCTTGCATTTATTTATTTATTTATTTATTTATTTATTTATTTATTTATTATGTATACAGTGAATAGTCGGCTTGCAAGCTTGCAGGCCAGAAGAGGGCGCCAGGTCTCATTACAGATGGTTGTGAGTCACAGTGCGGTTGCTGAGAATTAAACTCAGGACCTCTCTAAGAACAACCAGTGCTCTTAACATCTGAGCCATCTCTCCAACCTCTGTAACTCTGGCTTTGGGAATGTCTGTTTCAAAGCTAGACTTTCCCCCCCCCCCTCCAAACAAGAGATCAGAAATAGATCCAGCCAGATCAGGCCTGCCTGGAACGTTTTCCATTCGATTTCATTTTCATTGCTCCTTGACCAGGCGTGGACTCTGGCACTTACTTTATTTCTAAGCTCCAGGAGCTTCTTGCCTCGTCGGCGGGATGATGGGGGAGGCTTCTACGAAGCTGTTCTGCGGCACTGCCAGCCTGACTTTTCTTCCCCGAGAGCACAGCCCTTTCCAGCAGCAGCGCCGGCTGGGCAAATGTTGACAGGCCTGGCTCACGCCCAGGGGAAAGCACCCTCCACTTTCCTTATCGGCCTCTGTTTCCCTCAGCCGTCCTCTCTGTAATCTGCCTGTGCTGCTATTCTCTAGTGGGAAGAAGCGGAGTGTTCCGTTCAGACCACCGGATTATTCACTGCACCTCTCAGCCCAGCTGACTGCACCTTCTGTCTTGAGGGGTATGAATTGTCCCCGTCCTGTGAGTCTCACGTTTCCTTCTAATCACATTGATTAGATTAGAAAGTAAGAAACTGTAATCTCTTGTTCTCCCGTATTGTGTTCAGCCCATTTCCTGTGCACCTACCTTTGGCATGATACTAGTGTTCTTATTAAGTGATGAATATATTCTGTTAATTGTTTGCTTTTATCTGCTTCTCTGTCACTCAGTCAGTGTTCTGGACATTAAACAAGAAGAAGACAGTAATCTATCTTCCAGGCCTGCATCCGCTCAAGAATAGAGTTGTGCATAATTTTTCTTTTCTTTTCTTTTCTTTTCTTTTCTTTTCTTTTCTTTTCTTTTCTTTTCTTTTCTTTTCCTTTTAAAAGATTTATTTGGCCAGGCAGTGGTGGCGCACGCCTTTAATCCCAGCACTTGGGAGGCAGAGGCAGGCGGATCTCTGTGAGTTTGAGGTCATCCTGGTCTACAAGAGTTAGTTCCACGACAGGCTCCAAAGCTGCAAAGAAACCCTGTCCCGAAAAACCAATAAATAAATAAATAAATAAATAAATAAATAAATGATTTATTTGTTAATTATGTGTGCAGCGTTCTGCTTGCATGTACACCAGGTCTCATTACAGATGGTTGTAAGTCACCATGTGGTTGCTGGGAATTGAACTCAGGATCTTTGGAAAAGCAGGCAGTGCTCTTAACCATTGAGCCATCTCTCCAGCCCATGCATTATTATTCTAATACTGATCAAAACGAAAAGAGACATGGATTAGGAATCAGGAAACCCAGGTTCTGGTCTCGGCCCTGTAACTCATTCACTAGGTGGCTTGGCTCTCTTAGTCCTGGTTTCTTCATTTTTAGAATAAGGACTTGGGGTTTATTTAAAGGCTGCTTCCAGCTCTGGAATTCTTCCATCCTCTGTAGCTAATGCTCTGAGCAGAGCATGCCCTTGGCCGGGTTTACCAACAGCTGTGCTCTGCCCCTGGGCAGTATCCAGTGTTACCGCTGTGCCTTGCTTGGCCTGGCCTGGCAAAGCTCAGTGCTGGAGCCACTGACCATTCTCTAAAGGTCATGTGTGCCCCTGTTCTCAGTAGACTTGTTCCAAAGGAGTGAGAATCTCTGTATAGGTAATGAGACCCAGGAAGGAAGACAGAGGAACTGGCCTGAAGTGCCTACATAGCTTCCGCATCTGAGCTAAGCTCCGAGAGCAGCAGAACGGCACTGCTGGCTCATCTTCCGGCAGAGCCAGGGACAGAGAAAAGTCACCAGATGCCTTTGTATTGTTACCCTTCACACACTCAAAGCTGGCTCTCAAGCAAAACAAGGGGCCTTCACTAGCTCCTCCTCAGAGGGATTTTCCTGTCTTCATCCACTCACAGGACTCTCTGACTCCTCACTGAAGTCCTTATTCCTCTTGGTTTCTGGTGCCTAGAACAGGACACAATCAGGGTGTCGCACTTGAGGAAGGGCAGCATGGCTGGGTGTATTTCCAGTCGTTGTCTGTTAGCCAGTGAGTATAAGGAAGCATGTAGCAATTCCTATCTCAGGGCAGCGAACACCATATATGGAACTTTTCCTTCCCTGGGCACTGTTGAACATCTGCCAAAAGGTGGCATTTCTCAAGTATGTACCTGTACCAGTCACTTTAGCGGTGGGTGGGTGAGGGACAAAGACAGAGACAGAGAGGAAGAGAGAAAGAGAGAGACAGAGAGATAGAGGGGTGCTGTCCTTATGGAATGCATGTCTTATACTGTTCAACAGGTTCCATCCAGCCAACTATGGCAATTTAAATTACTTCAAATAAAATGAAGCCCAAGGGGGCTGGAGAGATGGCTCAGCGGTTAAGAGCATTGCCTGCTCTTCCAAAGGTCCTGAGTTCGATTCCCAGCAACCACATGGTGGCTCACAACCATCTGTAATGGGGTCTGGTGCCCTCTTCTGGCCTGCAGGCATACACACAGATGAAATATTGTATACATAATAAATAAATATTTAAAAAAAAATGAAGCCCAAGCTAAGCTTCGGTTGCTCGGTGATACCAGCCCCAGAGCAAGTGCTCAGAAGTCACGTGTGACAAACCACTACTCTACTGCTCAGCACAGATTATAGCGCTGTCCATCACTATGAAAAGTCTAAGTCTGAACAGTGATGCTCAGGCTTGAAAATTACGAGCCCTGCTGTGAATTTTCAAAAACTGAAATATACTTATAACCACTTTGCTATTAACTGTTTATCCTTCTCTGTTTTGATTTTCTGAAAGTTAGGAATATCTATCTACACATTATCTAGAGTAGATATTTTTTTACTTGTCAGAGTGTTCTTCTGTTTATTCATTTTGTGGTGTCCGCTGGTGAGCCCTAGACCGTAAGTATGCTAGATAAGCACTCTACCACAATCCCATACCTCCAAACCCAGAACACCACAATGTGTGGTGCCAGATAGCAGAGTTAGTGGACAACTGGCAAATCTGAGAAGCTCATAGGTTCTCAGAGCAGTGGGTCCAGAAAGACCTCAGACATTATTAGACAAGTGGTCTCTTTTCACTTCTGGGAACAGAAGCCCTCCTTACTCTGACAAAGTCGTGTTCTCAAGGTCATATTTAGCTAATGTGTGAGCTGGGTTTCCAGTTCACAGCTCCCGATTCCCTGTTCTGAGCACCTTCCTCTTCATTCCTTCATCTGAAATGAAGTATCTGCCTTGTGCCCTGATGCCAGGGATAAGAAGATGAGCAAGACCCTGAACCGTAGAGTTCCTGCGGCTGAAGAGGAGGTCTCTTCTGTGCCGTGCATGGCAGGAGGAGGAAGGCAGGTGCTCTGCCCTGGGCTGCAGGAGCAGAGGTACCAGCCCAGTCCATTCACAGCTTTCAAACCTTCTACTTTCCTGTACCAGATCGCTTCCTGCCGTAACCAGGTAGGGACCAAAGCCCCAGGACCAAGAGGCGAAGAACTTGAAACCACACCTCTCTCACACACAGGGCTGTGAGATAACACACTGATCATAAAGAAGGAAGATGGGGTAGTGGACAGCAGGGGACTGTCTGGGGCTCTGATGCTGGGAATGGTGAGGGTCGTACTTTGCCCTCTTCCTCCTCCCCCGTCTTTGCATCTCTTTGAACAGACAGAATGATTACCTTCCCAATTTAAGGGTAGGTTCCACTCTGATGCTGACTGGCTTACTAGTTATAATCCCATGTCAACCCAAAGAACACTAGCCCCCAGGGAATGCAAGGTACAACAACACGGGTTCTTCCCCCCGGTCCTACTTCACAACCTTTCCTTGGTGTTATGGATTCTGACAGTGTCCGTTCAAAATCTCCAATAGAAAAAAAGTACACCAAATAAATAAAAAAAACAAATTCCACCAATGAAATAGCTTCTTCATACTATAGATTCCAAAGCCCCCCCCCAACTCTAAAATCATCTGTCCTCATCAGAAGGGAGTACTTGGATAAAATTAATATGATCTATTATTTGTAAGGAAATGGAATCCCATATGACTGAGTTGCCAGGATTCTTTTGTACCTCACATTCAAAAGGAAGGGTTGGCAATGGTGACTGAGTAATCTCACCAAAGGGTGACGCTAGTGAGACAGGCTGCATAAGAAAGGAAGTTAGGGGAGGTGGGAGGGAAGGGAACACACATTTATCAGATCTGCCCATAGAATGCCCCATGCCCTGTAGACATTACCTCACATAGTCCTCCCAGTGAACCTACATCACACAGTTTAGCCTCAGATGGGGAAAATGAGGCCCATAAATATTCCACCAATTAACCAAGTTTCGAGGGATGGGAATCAAAAGACACCGAATTTAAGTCAAACTCCATCCAGTACTTTTCTCTTTTTTTTTTTCCCTTTCTTTTCTTTTAAGCTAGTTTTTAGGGCCAGGGAAATGGCTCAAAGGCATTTGTCATGTAACCCCGTTGACCTGGCGTTCCATCCTTAAAATCTACGTAAAAATGAAAAGAGAAAACAAGTTCCTTTGAACGCCACAGGAGTGGCAGGCACTTGCACTTGTGCACAATAATGCACATACAATAATGTAATGTACCCCACAATAATGGTAGCATAAAAGTTAAAAAAAAAAGAACAACGAAAACCTACTTCAGCATTATTTGGCTGCATTCATGAGCAGAGGCAGGCAGATCTCTCTGTGTGTTGGCGGACAGCCTAGTCCTGTGAGTTCCAGGACAACCAGAGCTATGTAGAAAGACCCTGTCTTTTAAAAAAAAGGATGATGGATGGATGGATGGATAGACGGATGGATATGGCTGGCTTGATATAGACCTGATAAGATTCTTGGATTGGAACTGAGGTGAGATTAATTTCTGAGTCTTTGTTTATTTGGTTTGGTTTGGTAGACCAGAATGAGATCTTCCCGTCTCTGCCTCCTAATTGCTGGGACTAAAGGTATGTGCAAGTACAGCCAGAGTAATTTCCAGATCTTAAAGACACTCTAAGTCCTGACTCAGGAAAGAATTGCATCACTCTCTTCTCACAAGGGTTGCACAGGTAAACTTGTCACAGGTGGAACTTTTGCCAATGGGTAAGAATAAAAAGTTTTCAGCTGCCATTGTAAGAAGGACAAGATCTGTGTGCTCCCTTTCCCTCTGGTGAGGAGTATTTCTCACGCTGCTTCCTGTGTGCTTTTCTGTTCATCTGCAAAGATTCAAGCCAGCCAAACTCACATCCCGGGTTGAAGGCTACCTGGGAGAGCCCTGAAAGCAACTCATGGCTCCTTATGATGCTACCCTGCAAACGAAGGCCAGTTCCAAGCCTTTCCCCAGAGACCTGATTTAGCAGGATGAGAGGAAGATGGCCCCTGTTCTGCACAACTTCTTCTCTGTAAATTTGAAGATCATAAAAGTCAGGTCTTAATTCTGAGGGTAGTCGTTCCCACCTGTGGGTCACGACCCCCATGGGGGTCACATATCACGTATATCAGATATTTACAGCAAAACTGCAGTTATGAAGTATCAACAAAACAATTTTATGTTTGGGGGTCACCACAACATGAGGAACTGTATGCAAGGGGTTGCAGCGCGAGGAAGGTTGAGAGCCTAAGACTTAGGGTTAGAAGACTGAACCATTGTGCTAGGAATCGCTGTGTGCAGAATGTTGTAGGAAGCGGCCGTGAGAAGGATGGCAAGATTAAAAAAGGGGGCTGGAGAGATGGCTCAGAGGTTTTTGCCTGCTCTTCCAAAGGTCCTGAGTTCAATTCCCAGCAACCACATGGTGGCTCATAACCATCTGTAATGGTGTCTGGTGCCCTCTTCTGGCCTGCAGGCATACACACAGACAGAATATTGTATACATAATAAATAAATAAATATTTAAAAAAACAAAAATAAAAAAGGAAATCTTCCAGAATCTTCCTGGGGAAAGCAAATCCATGGTCATTCCTCGTTGTCTCCACCCCTTCACAGTCTGTCTCAACCCTTCTATTAGAACCATTTGTCTAGCTTGGGTAGCACTTATGTCCCATTCCTCTGGGTTGCTCAGGAGGCCTCCTTACTTCTCAATGCCAGTTCCTTTGAAGCCTCCCTTTTCCTACTCAATCCCCTCTGGTGCTCAAGTCAGAACAAGAAAGGGCAGAAGGTGAAAGAGTTCAGTCAACACTGGTCCCCCTCTTGAGGCAGTAGGGAAGTGGAAAGCCCCAGAGTTTATTTACACTTGGGACCCCCAGGCTGGTCTGCAGCCAGTCAGGGTCTCAGATACCCAGAGACAATCCCAAATGCACTATTGTTCCTGAACTCCAAATTTACGATTCCCATCCCAACCATGATTATGTAGGACTTGGTGACATCACGCTGATCCCTCCCTCCTGTGAATGCAAAGCTCTTCAGAATTCACTCCCCCCACGTATCAATGGGAAATGTGCCCTAGCTAAGTCCACTGTTGAGGGTGTATTAATAACCTCATACAAGCCAGGCACACACCTTTAAACCCAGCACTAGGGAAGCAGAGGCAGGCAGATCTCTCTCTCTCTCTCTCTCTCTCTCTCTCTCTCTCTCTTGTACGAGGCAGAGGCAGGCAGATCTCTCTCTCTCTCTCTCTCTCTCTCTCTCTCTCTCTCTCTCTCTCTCTCTCTCTCTCTCTCTCTCTGTGTGTGTGTGTGTGTCTATAGAGAGAAACCCTGTCTAGAAAAACCAAGGGGAAAAAAATAACTACATATAGCATTTGGCTTTTTTTTCTTTTTTTCGAGACAGGGTTTCTCTGTGGCTTTGGAGCCTGTCCTGGAACTAGCTCTGTAGACCAGACTGGTCTCGAACTCACAGAGATTCGCGTGCCTCTGCCTCCCAAGTGCTGGGATTAAAGGCGTGCGCCACCATCGCCCGGCACATATAGCATTTGGTACATGGGTTGCCTAACAGAATCATTTCTGCATGAATGTACAAAATGTCCCTCAAGTCTTTATAGTTTGAAAAACTGACAGCACTTGTCCACATTTCTAATTTATGACCATCTTGGGCAGTGGCTCTAAGAAGAGAGGGCTTGCCAATGTCTTAACGTACCTGTGAAACAAGACATTATTCCTACTAGACCAAAGCAGGGGAAACTGAGGCCATGGGCAGAGATAAGTTTAAGAACACACGGTAATTTTTAATGTCGAGCTCTAATCTAAGCATGCTGATGGGTTTGATCCAAGTTAGTGACTAATGTTGGAAACTGCTTGCCCGAGAAGTGACTTGCCCGGGGTCACAAAGCTGAGGAAGGTAGCTCTAGACCTGCAATCTACCTCCTCACCTTCCCGGCTCAGTGTTGATATGACACCTGCCACATTTTAATCGCGCTGTGATTTTTCTTCTATCTTAATCGTTTTATTTAATCGGAGGACTGAAAACCAACTGTTCATTCATTCATTCACTTCTTTACTCGGTTACAGGTACCCGAATTACTCCAGTGACCTCAGCTGAGAGTCTGTCTCCTGAGTCCACCCCTCGGATCATCCAGGTCCTAAAGCATTCTGGGCAGAATGACTTCTGTAACCCTCTTCCTTCCCTCCGGTGCCCTCCGTGGCTTTGCTCTCACTGCAAAACGGACCTTTACCCTCCTTGTCCTCCTCACCCCTCCCGCCACTGAATCGTGGTATGTGCAGGATCAGAGTTCTGGAAAGGTTACACCCGAGTCCTCTCGCCCGAGTGAAATGTGAGCACCCTGGGCAAAGGCGGCTTGCACATAGAAGGTCCGAATCCGGGACTCGGACGACCTGGCTCCTCTCCCTCCTTCCACCGACTGCAGGAGAAGCAGCCCTGGCCCTCCCCTCCCCCGCCCACCTGTCGCCACCCCCCACCCTTCCGCAGTAGCTGGGCCCAGGGCATCTCCCCATCCTCCTCCGGGGCCACATTGCTTCGGGTCAGCGTCACAATCCAGGCTCCCGAAATAGCCCGGGGCTAGGGCCGACTCACCCACTGGAGAACTTTGATGAAGCCCAGCGGCTCCTCCAGGCGCCGCCAGCGCAGCCCCACGAGCAGGCGGTCCACCTGCAGAAACAGAGCCAGCAGACAGACGGTCAAGGCGGGGGGAGGGGGGCGAAGAGTGGGAGAGGGGGGACGTGGGTCCCCCACTACTCACACTGGGAGGGGGTAGCGGAATAGGACTCAGGTAGGACATCTAGGTGGACAGGGGCTGGTGAGAGTCCACGGGCCGGGCGCTTGGGGCGTACCTGCGGGCGCGGAGACTTGTCCGACGTGCGGCTGGGGCTCTCCGTCGAGGACATGGTGGCGCGGCGGGGCGCAATGCGGGGCTTCGGCTCCCTGGGCGGGAGGCTTCGGGGCGCGCGGGGGCGCTGGGGACGGCGGACTCGCGACCGTGGGCAGGCCGGGCTCCAGGCTGGCTGGCGGGCTGGGTTGTGGGGGCGCTGCTGCTTGCGCTCTCGGAGGCTGTGTCCGCCTTACTGCCCCGCCGGCTGCAGAAAGCCCCCGAGTCCGATTCAAACTTCTGTCAAACTCTCTGGCCGAGTCTGCAGCTGAGTCACGTGGCGTGCGGTCGCGAACCCTGCTCCCGCCTCCTGCGCTCCCCTTTTTCCGCGCGTAGGGTGCCTTAAAGGGACCTGTGGAGCCTGCTAGCCGTCGGGCTGCCAGGAGGCTCCGGCGCTTCGTTAGAAGCTTTCAGGTCGGTTCCCACTGAAACAGCGCAGCCGCTCCAACACCAGAGCCAAGGACAAGAACCCACCCGGGATGCGTGGACTTCTAGAGCAGCTTTTCCAGTTTTCCTGCGTTCTGTCGGAGGGTTCTTCTATTTTTCCATACCGTAGTAACTAGAGCACACAAGATTTTCCCAAGGCATCCTCAGTGCTGCTGTAAAGGTGCACCACCAGCCAGAGCAGAGGGAGAAAGACCTGGACTATAGACTTTCACTTCGCACTAGCCAAGGTTTTACTTTTTAACAACAAACGGCATTTAGATGTTAATGAGTTTCAAAGTTATCAAAAATTTAAAACGTAAGAACTCGATCTCCTTTTAATTTAAACCCAACACGATTTAAAAGAGAATCAAGGAACTGTGGGCGCAGAGATTGGAGTTTGTATGAAAACTAAGGCAAAGTTGCATGCTGATTGACTTTGAATGGGCCTCAGTTTTGAAAAGCGGTCTGTGGGAGCCGGAAGTGAGCAGTCGTATTACACATTGGGTTTACATGGAACGGAAATCTAAGTAGTAAAAGGTGACAGACACCATTTAACCAAAGCCTCTCAGTGACTCAATGGTCGAAGCTAGGAGGGAACCAGCCTCTCTCCTTTGCTCCTAACTTTTATCCGTCAACGTCATTCTTTGATAATATGTCTTTACTCCCTACTTCCAGCATTTCAAAACCAGTGCTTTTTGAGCAAATATTCTGCTGTTTATATAATTCAACCTCTGAATAAGAGCCTTCCCAAACCTAGGTATGAGTGGGTGGGACAAACAGCTAAGGCTGGGCTTGAAGGAAACTTCTGCCATAGATTTACATGCAAATTTGGGCTAAATAAGGAATTGCTGAGTCTGCAGATATGCCCTTAATAAATCACAGGGACAAGAGAGATAGTTTAGCAGTTAGGAACATTGCTTTCTCAGAGGACCAGGCTTTGGTTCCTGGAACTCGCATAGAGACTCACAGCCATCTATAATTCCAGTTCTAGGCTATCCATTGCCTAGATGAAATCAGAGGCTCATACATCACACAGGCAAACACTCGTACACACAAAGTAAGGATAAATATATCTTTTTAGAAAATTATTCTGCCGCCTTAGGTTTCTGATCTACAGTCATTTCTGTTCCACTTACTTTCATGAAGCCACCATGAAGACTGAGGTGTAAAGTCCCAAACCACACAGATATGAAATGAAACATATTATTGTATAGTATAATGCCCACTGGCCAGCCTTGTTCGACTCAGTTCATTGCTGTTCTAGCCTGTGTTTATCAGCCTTGCCCCCCAATCATACTATATCTGGGAACAGTACACAGACATTGCATCATAATTTTTTCAAATTGCTTGAAACTTTACCCTATTAATATGATGATTGTTTGACTTGCTTTTGTTTTGTGACAATCATATGATCTGATACTTGTAGCTTTAGTTTTTTTTTGTTTTTTTTTTTTTTGCTATGAGAATTTCACCACAAGCATAGTGTTTGGGTTATTTTCAAAAGTCCACTCTTCAAGCACACTGTGGATATATATATATATATATATATAATTTTCTAATAACACGTTTCTTACACAGCACTGAGTTTTCGATGTCCGTGTGTGTGCACACGTGTGTGCATGTGTGTGCATGTCCAAACACACACCTTGGTTGTAAATAAATGTTTCAACTTGACCCATTGTACAAATTGAAGCAGGACTGACGAGATGGCTCAAGGGGGCAAAAGCTCTTTCCAGGCCATCGTGATGACCTAAATTCAATCTCTGGAACCCCACAGTTGAAGGAGACCACAGACTCCCACAGCAGACACATAGACCGATAGTAAATAAAATTTTATTTTGTTTTAACATTTTATTTTACCTTATTTTAGAGACAGGATTTCTCTGTGTAACTGCCCTGGCTGTCCTGAAACTCACTTTATAGACCAGGTTGACCTTGCACTCATAGAGATCTGCCTGTCTCTGCCTCCTGAGTGCTGGGATTAAAAGCCCATCTTGTAAATACAATTTTACAAGTAAACTGAAGCAAAGAGTTTGTGAAACTCACATTTTCTATTCCATTTCATTAAGAAATTCTGGCTACTTAGTAGCAGAGTCAGGTTTAATGAAGCCTAAAATTACTGCAATTTTTTTTCATAATTGTACTGCTGTAAAGTCTTCTTCTTCTTCTCCTTCTCCTCCTCCTCCTCCTCCTCCTTCTCCTCCTCCTCCTCCTCCTTCTCCTTTTCCTTCTTTTTTAAGACAGGGTTTCTCTGTGTAGCCTTGGTGCCTGTCCTGGAACTCACTCTATAGACCAAGCTGGCCTCGAACTCACAGAGATCCACCTGCCTCTGCCTCCCAAGTGCTGGGATTAAAGGTGTGCGCCACCATCGCCCGGTGTAAAGTTATTTTTTAAAGGTTTTTACATTCACTCATGTGTGGGTGTGTTTGTGCCATATCAAGTGTATGGCAGCCAGAGGACAACCTGCAGGGAGTTAGTTCTCTGGTTCTACTGTGTGGGTCCTAGGAGTAAAACTTGGGTCATCAGGCTTAGTGGCAAGTGCCTTTACCCACTAAACCGTGTGTCCAGCCCACAAGATTCTATACGAAATTAAACAAGCCTTTGAGTAAGAAGCCTGGGCCTCATTACCTTCGGGATAATGATTCATTGTCCTTTAGTGGCTCATTCACAGTGGGTCTCTAGCAGCAGTATGATAAACTCTGCAGTATACTTAAAAGCAATCTGACTAGAAAATAAGATGTGAACGTTTTCAACTCCGACCTTCAACAAATGTGTGCGCCCATGTCCACCACCGTAGTCGTGATATGTGCCGCTCATTTCAAAGAGTTTGCACTCACTCTCCAGACAGTCCTTATCCTCATTTCTGTCACCAAAAAATAAAACGTGCTTTTCTAACTTTCTGGGTCTCAAGATGTTCAAGGGAGGACGTGGTGTAAATTCTGGATTTCCCTGGGTCTCTCTGTGGGAACTTCAGCAACTTTGTCAATAATATAGGAGCCAAAAACATGCCTGTCTTCTCTGTGAAGAAAATCAAGGGATGGCTGGACAGACTTTCTGCTGCTGGGGAGTGATATGGTGATGGCCACAATTAAGATATATATATATATATATATATATATATATATATATGACTTATGCACATTTCTCCCAGTCTTAATTTGCCTTTTGCGTTCTCCTAAGGCTATGTATGAAGAACAAAGGTTTTTAATTTTGTTCCAGCAGCATATAAAGTAACTACTACACACACTTTGGCCAAACCAACTACACACTCAAGGGCACATCACTCTCTCAGTGTTTTGTTTGCTTGCTGAGACAGTGTCTGCCTATGCTGCCCAGGCTGGTCTTAGACTTCTAGGTAAAGCCATCTTCCTACCTCAGCTTCCCCAGTAGCCAGCAGTGCAGGGACATGCCACCAAGCTTGTTGTCTTCTCATTAAACCTGTGGAGTTGTCCCATAACAGATATTCCAGCGACTAGTTCATGCCTGCCTGTTAGGAGTAGAGGCACATGTAATTACAGAGAGAGAGAGAGAGAGAGAGAGAGAGAGAGAGAGAGAGAGTTTCTTGCCAAATTTCTGCCTGTTGGTTTTTGTTTTTTATTTTTAATTTAGGTAACCTGAAGACCACAACCCCTCTTGGGCTGACCACAATGGCATCTGTAATTTCAGGGCTTGGAAGGTTAAGGCAAGTAAATCATGAATTTTAGGTCAGCAGAGACTACACATAGTGAGACTGTCTCCCAATAAGGAAACAAATACTTACTTTGGATAAAATATCTTTTATTATTTAGAATCCTACTTCTGAAAGATTTGAACTTACGAATAATTTGTTTAAAAAACCAACAAGACAAAAAACAATACATTTCAAAAGCCCTGAATCTTTCTTTATACATCCTTCAGAACACAGATTAAGAACAATATTTCTATGAGAATGAAAACCAGTGGCACTGTCTTCAATAAACACCTTTAAGAGTTCTGTTTCTAATGCTGGGCGGTGGTGGTGCATGCCTTTAATCCCAGCACTTGGGAAGCAGAGACAGGTGGATCTTTGTGAGTTCGAGGCCAACCTGGTCTACAAAAGCTAGTTCCAGGACAGGCTCCCCAAGCTACAGAGAAACTCTATCTCCGAAAAAAGAGTTCTGTTTCTTATCTGTGCATGTAGGGAGAAGGAGGTGTGAGAGTACACGGGCGCAATTCTCCAGGTGTGGACAAGAGAGTACACAGGCGCAATTCTCCAGGCGTGGACAAGTGTGTGCAGGGGCGCAATTCTCCAGGCGTGGACAAGTGCCATCTCCTGGGCCCTCGTATTGTAATGAAAATCATGGCGATGATTGTATGAAGCAAGGATTTCAATATTTCCATTGTTTTCTGAAATGAGACAGAGAAAGCATTCTTACATAAACAAAGACATAAAGTAGGAGGTATGGGTACACGGACGATAAGCAAATACTTCCATATACCTAGGAAATCAGATGGATGAAAGCCAAGTGGAAGGAAACAGTCTTTGAGTGGCACTTGAGGGTAAAGGCCCTAAATGAGAAACGCCTAGATTTTACTGACTACTCACGGCTTGGGTCGGTTGGTTGGTTGGTTGTT